CGAGGACTTGGTTCTTCATTGATAAGTGCGATAGCGGATGCTTTTTTGCCATGTAGAAACTCATTCAGTCTGAAATTGACTAAACATGAGTTGACTATTTAACGGGCGCTTTAAATTATCTTACGTTACATTCAGTGTAACGTAAAGTTTAATGCTGTCTGTCTGGATCATATTTAACAATGGTTGATTTCCTGGTTTGTAAACGAACCATCAAGGCCTCCACTAACATTCAAGTATAACAACAAAACGTTGCATCTGAGAATTTACGATACACATTTGTGGACGATATGAGATGTGCAATAACGCTTTGTGATGTGGTGTTTCAATGAACTGTCTTAATGCTGTCAGAAATACGCTTTGATTTAGACGCTGCCGACTAGTTGGTCGAGTAACGGCTGCTAGATAAGAGGGCACTGCATTGGAATTCGTGGAATCATGAAGTACTAAGATATTAGCGCGCTTGTTTTCACATTGTTTGAAAGAACTGAAAATTCCAGACGATTGAACTACCGCATCGGTTATTGAACTTTACAAAAACGGAGGCAAAGAGGATGCGAAGAACTAAGGACTGGTCAGTTTGTTATTAATCAGCTAGAAAATATTCACGAAGGTAGTTAGGAACAGGCGTCGAAAAAGAAACTAGCCGCTGCATAACTAAAGGAGCAAACGGTATTCAGAATTAGATTTAGTAGAGAGATCATCTTTAGGTGGTACAACAAGTAATTCAGATAATCAACGAATATCAGCTTCCTATTTGCCTGCAGTTCGCCGATTTCATGAAAGCGTTCGACCCAAGTCTGCTAGATTTGTTGAGGAGCCAGGGAATCTAGAAACGATACAGACACCTCATCGGCATGATTTACTAGAATGCAATTGCTAGTGTAAAGTTTCACGAAAGCACAAGCAAGTTCAAAATCGAACAGGACGTCTGACAGGGAGATGGAGTATCACTTCTACTCCTTTTGAGAAAATCAATGGTTGAACATCACAGCTGAACAAACGTCACTACTTACTACGGTTTCCAGACTACATTATGATCTTCTCAAGGTCACCAGAAAAATCAAAGAAATGAACAGCGCCAGCATCGAGTATTAGTTATGACTGATAACTCAAGACATATTTGACAAATACGTCAACCCTCAACCTTTTTTTGGATAGAGAAATCTGCGCCCATCTAAGAGTTCCTCCCTGCAACAGGGAACCAAGTTAAATCATGAAATGAATAGAAAAATATGATAAATTGCGAACTACACGATGCAGCATGAAAATATTTTGTACTGGTAATAATAAGAAAAGATAGGAATACGAATAATTGGATTACGAGCACAAAGAAAAATCTGTAGTTTCAACGACCGAGTGAAAAAGTTAAAGTGACAATGGATTAGACATGTTGGAACAAGAAACGACACTGCATCCGACAGACATTAGACGGGGTTCCAAAATAAGTTGATTGCAAAGCCTTTGAAAGGCATATATTCAGCAGTAGATAGACAAAGGCGGATGATTATTATTATGTATACGGATCTAGTTATATCCTCTGGAGTTCGAACAGGTTGTGGCCTGACCCAACAAAGTGGTGCGGTTTGCGCCTATGCACTGCAAATGCTAAAATGATATGTAGCCGCGTCGTCTTTCAGACTACTAAAGGCAAGGAGACGGTGTGACCACACCATGTGAATTCGGAAAAATGACAGAAAAATAATCGTATAACGTCATTAATCTGTTTTCGAACTCTTATTAACAGTTGTTCATTTTGAGTTTTTCTGCTTAAATCCAGAGACAATCATAGGAATTTAAAAATAATTATGAAAACTGTCTACCGGAAACAGAATTTTTGAAACAATGTTTTAATTATTGTCATTTTTCATCCTATGCTTTAGAACCTGTCGCATTTAGGCTTGATACCACTTTTAACAATTGATGTGTGGGAACATGCTTACTACCTCAAGTATAAAAACTTGCGAGCGGATTATGTTAAATCGATCTGGGATATTGTCAATTGGAAGAACGTTGCGGAACGTTATGCGAATGCGGTGAAAAAGTGATGCATTGTGGTGACGTATTAGTTTTCATTATCTGTCTGTTTTTTCTAACATGTGATTAATTTTCAATAAAAATTTACAATAAAGCAGCACAATTTTAATGCTTGTCATTTATGTAAGTCGCTTTTACAAAATAAGTAGCACCGGAATAATTTAGCTGTCTGGCCGACGGGTCGCTTTTATTTTTGGCTTTAAAATCGTGTCTCCGTCTTCTCTACATGGAAACACTTTGATAGCAGGATAATTTTCATTCATGGGTACGACCTCGTTCATAACCTCCGCTAAAAAGCGTAGTCATTAGACGAAAAACGCAACAGTAAACATAATTACTGGAGGAAAAATAAAAAAAGTAATCACGCCCTGATGTCAGCTGAATTGTCAAGATGGAACGAGGAAGAAATTAAGAAGCCAACAATCAGCATCCAGCAGTCTTTAGTGTCTAAGAATACTGTGCCTGTTAAATTGCAACGAGAGGACCGCGAACCACCGTAGTATGCACTAGAAACATCGAAATCAGTTTTG